GCTGAGAAGTAAAGGATTTGAGTTGAATGAACTGAGTGCGATCAGACAAGTATGATATGATGAAGATATGGTTTTATCCTCAATTACTTTGAAACAGTGGCCTCTGCTGTGATATCATTGTGTTTTTGATGAAGTCTCACAAGTGTCAGCTTTATTTTGATATCAAGATGATTTACACAGTTTGTAATTGCTGAGAAATAGTCAGTTAGCTCTGGGCACGTCATTTTCCAGCAGGAATGTTAGGAATAACCCTGGGGCTTAACAAGTTAATAAAGTTAAACTTTTCAGTGTGTAACACCAGCCTGATTTTCTGTTCTCCTTGTGTACTCTGGGTAGAACCCGGCACTGGTGGATGCTCCACTGTCTCTCCAGCTCGCCGTCAACTCTCCGCCCAAAACCTCCATCAAGACGTCTGGAGCCACGGTTGTCATGACTGCCATCGTCAATGTGATGGTGCTGCCTCCAGGTCAGCCTCCGGTTCAGCTGAGCAGCATGACCATGGTACACACACACACACACACACACACACACACACACACACCCAAAGCAGACTCTAAAGACTGTACACTGTGGTCTGGTTTGATACTGCTGATCACTGCGTCATGATAACGTTCTTAAGGACTTGTTTAGAATTACTGGTGTTGTTTTAAAATGGGCCATGTCATATCTAACAGATCTTTTACTGTTTGTATGAGTCAGTGATATCTGAAATAACAGTTCTGCCTTTGATAGAAATTGTCTTAGCTGGGCTGGTCTGGTTACCACGCTGGTGACCTGATAATCTGGTGAAGACTGGATGGCTGCACTGGTCCTTTTAAAAGGCTGATGTGTTTGATGGCTTTTAATCTGAGGCAGAAAGACAAACTCCAAATCCACCCTAACCGGAGGGAGGATAACAGCTGTTCTTTATAAACACACCGCAGGAACCTCTCATGACTTCCTTATCATCTAATGAATATTTCTAAACTCAGACTGCTGGTGTCAAAAGGCTGAACTGCTCTTACTGATTATTGTGACCGTCGTCTTTCTTCTGTTTTAACAAATTAGCTTTGACTTGTCTTCAGACTGTGCAAAATGCTGCGTCAAGACTTTTACCTGTCACCAGCTGAAGCTCACATGTCACTCCATGAAGTCACTCCATGGCTTCTCTTCATTGGCTGCCAATGTAAAATAAATGGCCTGCATTTGTATAGCGCTTTACTTAGTCCCTAAGGACTCCAAAGCGCTTTACACGTTCAGTCATCCACCCATTCACACACACATTCATACACTGGTGATGGCAGCTACATTGCAGCCATAGCTGCCCTGGGTACAAGGATATTTGGCATGCAGCCTGGAGCAGCCTGGGATCGAACCACCGACCTTCTGGTTAGTGGCTGACCTGCTCTGCCACCTGAGTAGGTCAGCTCAGGTGGCAGAGCAACCACCCCATTTTAAATGTATTTTAGGTTTCACCTTAAAATTCTAGTTTTAACTTGTAGCGCCCTACATGGTGAAGCTTCCCAGTATATCTCTGACCTGCTGAAACCCCATCATTCTTCCTGAGCTCCTAGGTCATTAAGGGAGAGAGGGTGAACAGACGTTAAGGACGCGACAGTGACACAAAGGCACACTGGGCTTAAATACACTGAGGGAGTCATCAAGGAATTAGAGACAGAAGGGGAACACAGCTGGGAGAAATAAGACCTAACGAGACAGGGGGAGCAAAGCTGGAACACTGACATCAGACAGGAACAAGAACCTTCAAAGTAAAACAGGAAACAAAACACACTTTACTAAGACACGGACTAGACAGAGAGAGACAGACTTGACACTGACCAAAGCCTACTAAATAATAATCATAATCAAAACAGTATCACTGATAAATCAAACCATAAATCATAATCTAGAAAAACAGAAAGCTGGGTCAACATGACCCAGAACCGTGACAGAAATGTGGTTGAAGCATCCCTGTGGCTTCAGTGTTTGCGCCTTCTTGTCATTTATGATCTTTGAGCCTTTCAACAAGAAAAAACTCACAGACTTTGAGGTGGAAACTAAAAGCGTCTTTTTCCCTTCTTGCAGGAGACCAAGTTCAATGCCAAAGTTTCCATGAGAGGAAAACGTCTGTCTGTTCACGCTGACCTACGCAGGTTTGCATGTTTCACTTCTTTGTTTCTGCAACATGTTCATTAAATATCAGATTGGCCTAACCCAGTCACCCCACACTCACTCGATTGTGTTTGCACATTGAAATCTGTAGCAAGATTTTTTTTCCTGTAGCAATATTAGAATCTTGATCTTCCTTACTGTGAAAATCAATCAGTCTCAAGTTTCAAGTTTTATTTTATCCTATATATGTAAGAGTGGCACATCACTACCAGCAAATAAATTCTTAGGCTCAGAGCCCCCTCAATATTTCATGTAGAAAAAAAGCAAAATTGCACACAAGGTAATACTAATACAAAACACAGTATATCCTTGTAACTCCTTGGCTCTTGAGGGAGGCGGCCGCACTTTCTCTCCCTTATCTTCCCTGTTGGGCTTCTCATGTCTTTTATATAGTCTCGATTATTCTCTAACCCAGGGGTCGGCAACCTTTCTGATGACGAGCGCATCTAAAATTTTCTCAGAAGTCAGTGTGCCATATGACTGCATTAGCAATAAATTTAATAACGCTCTACATGAACAGTTACACACTGTATAGAACAACTTTATAGGATTATATTTGTGTGCAGATGTTGGCAGCTATCAGCGAATAGTTATCAGCTATTATGAAACAAAAAAAAGACTTTTTATCCATAACAGCAAATGAACTGTACAACAGAAAATACAAATGCTATTTATGGTCTCCTCTCAACAATGATAAGAAAAATAAACTGGGCCAATATGATGACATGTTTGTTAATACAGAGACACACATGTGAATGTGATCTCTGGTCTCCCACTCAGAGACACAGGTCTCCAAGTGTCCAGCATTCAGAGGCTGCCTGAGGACTCATGTGATAGAAAATCTGCTCACACAGACATGTAGAGCCAAATACTGTCAATAAGGCCTCTGCAATGTTCTGAAGACAGTTAAACTTGTCAGGCAGTGATGTCCAGCAGGTGAACATGCAGCTCCATGAACACGCACAGCTGTGGATTCCAGCTGTGTTCGTAGTTCTGCAAACTTTGACCCCACAGAGTCGAGCTTTTCAGTTCAATCAACTGCATTTCAATGTCGCATTAACTGGCATTAACTCAGCCAGTTAATGTGAGACAAACCCAGCTGCTCTTTAAAGCTTTCTGGTTTGATCAGAAAAGAAAATATTGGTCCATACGCCTGAAAGTCCTGAAAACACATTGTGAATTCTGTCTCGAGTACGGATCTATCCGTGTTTTTCCGTGGTGCTGATGCTGCTCTGAGCGGACAGCTGCTGAAGAATTTAAAGTGTCAGAATGTGGAAATTTCAACATCGCTTGAAAAAACTGCCAGCTAGCAACGTCCCTCTCACTGGTAGGCGAAGTGATTTTTAGCTAATTACAAGTTGAATCTGGTAGTTGGGGTTGTTAGCTAAGATACTGTCATTAAGAAGCGGCACAACTAATGTGTCTATGCGAGCTAATTTGTGATGTGCACCACTGGTGCGGCCATTTATTTTTTTAATGCACCTTCTGAGATTAATTCACTGCGTGTCGTGCCCAGGGCTGGACTGGGACAAAACATCAGCCCGGGCATTTTGACTAGAGACCGGCCCCCCAGGTATTAAAGCCATAAAGCCTTTGAATGAAAACAGATGCTGTGGTGACAGTGATGTACAGTCTTGTTGGTATATGTATGATTTCTATACATTTTACATCAGATAAAAACTTTGGTTGTTAGATTCAGATAATTATTTATTAAAAGTGAAACATTTCATACTGTACTAATGTATGCATATTTCATGTGTTTTTATTTGATGTAGGTTTGGGAGAGAGCAGGGATGGGAGGTGTGTGTGTGTGGGGGGGTGTTCTTATTACTGCGGCATATTACTGTGAAAACAAACCTTTATATGCTGTTGCAAAAAGCAATAAAAAATATTGTTTAATAAAAAAAATAAAAAAAATAAAAGCGAGACATTTTAACTGAAAATAAGAAAGAAAAGTATTTCCTTGTGCCCCCTCTCCCTGTTAATGCCCTACCTGCCCTCTGGCAACACTTTGCTAGACCCGCCCCTGCACAGTTACCAGCTGTCAGCTACTTAGAAAAGGATCCTGGTGTTATTTGTCTCTCAGAAACAGTTCATAACTTCAACTCATTCATGTCACCTAAAAGGTAAACCTGTTTCTCCATCACCTGTTCAGCTCTGATGATCCAGTAAGGACATCTCCTGGTTTCATCCTCATGTTTCCCTCTCACCACATATCCAAACCGACATCATGACCAGCAGCTTTACAGCTGTGGCTCCAGCAAACATCAGCTGATACTAGAAATTAATATTAAAAATAAATTCTAACAACAGCTGATCAAACGTGCTGCTGTTGTTTAGCGACATCCGCTGGTTTCCTCTTTCTGGTGCAAAGTGGGCGATAAACAAACAAGAGAGACGATCAGCTGATCATTGATCAGTTTCATGATTGAAGGAGCAACAGGAGAGGGAAGGGGGAGAATGAGAGGAGAAGAGGCAGCTGTGCAGCGTAACGACGCAGAAAAACTGCAGCTTTGTGTTCCTTTTCACCTCAATAAGAAACACGTAATATTTTCACTGAATACGGGATGATTCCGTTTTTTTACGGGACAGTTGGCAATTCTACTAACTGACCTTATGAATAAAATAAAGTTCGTTATCAGTAACATCAATTACCCACCCAGCTGTATAGAAACTCCGTCATGCTAGCTACAATACAGTTACAATAACTCAACTGAAGGTAAAAAGTCAGCATAACGAAAATAAACTCCACCTAAACTTGGTTTATATCTGACCCAGATAGACTGCAGGTCATAACTTCTTACCTGGAGTTCACCTGACACTCAGACCGGCGGCCGCCTCGGGTCTCTCCTCCTCCTGCCTCTCCTTCCCTCATCCACCTGCTGGCCTCTGTGGAAGCTCCGCCACAGCCACCACCAAACAACTGAGTTATTTTTACACACTGGCCAATCCACCAGCTTTCACTGTTTATACCGTTACTAAAACAAAACCCCTCCAAAACAAAACAAAACATTGGCCCAGTCGTGCCATCAGTTAACCCGTCGCGTGCTATCTGTGGCATGTGTGCCCATTTTTATTTCAAACATTTCAAACATGTGCCTTCACAATCATTACAAAATATCATTCCATTTGTTGCTTGAAAGGGAGTCGGCAGAAGCATATACTTTTTTGTCCCTACCCCTTCAAGTTTTACCTCTCATTCAGTTAATTTTCTTTTAGTCTTAAATTAAACAAACATCATATGAAGCAAAAGTAAAGCAAAACACAAACATACATCAAAAACAAGTATAGTTTCTTTCATATGAAAAAGACAGAATGTGTAAATTTGCAGATTCACAAGTTATGGAAAAAACAAACAAACAAAAAGAACAACAACACCATTACCAGCAACATCACTGTCCTGGGTTAACCCTGTTTTCTTCATTCTTATATTTATTTAAAATTATTTTAAGCTAGTTTATGTTTTTACTTTCTTTTATTTCTTCTGTTAGACGGTGTTTATTAAACGCAATATGGATAAGATCTTGGAGAAGCTCATAGTGTCACAGTCTGGCTGAGGCAGACTGTATGTGTTTGCAAGAGAGGACTCAAACGCAGACCAAAAACTGAACGTGACGTGGATTTAACAAAAAACAAGCCGTTTATTGAGGCTAGGAAACAAGGTACAAACAAAGGGCAACGGTGAAACTAAACAATAACCTAAACTGGGTGAACCAAAACTAAACATGAAAAAACCTTAAACATGGTGAACTGACATGGATACCTGAAGTTGTGACATGGATGAGCAGACAACCTGACAAGGAATGACTGAAGACACACAGACTAAATACACACAGGAGGATAATGAGGGAAATGGAAACACATGGGGAAACAGCTGACACACATGAACATAACGACGTCACGAGGGGAAAGTAAAACTAAAAACATTGAACATAGGAACACAGGACCCCTTCAAAATAAAACAGGAAACATAATGAGACGCAGACATGACTACATGAACTTGACAACGTAAGACAGACATGAAACACATGAAGGGCAAGGGAGACTTCACAGGGGTTGGAAGACACAAAGGGAATCTAAAAACAAATGAACTAGAAAAGCTAATGAGTTTAATCACATACTATAAACATCAAAATAAACTAAAACTCAAAACACCGGGTCATAAGACCCAGGATCGAGACAACATAACATAATATCTTGAAGAAGAACAACGGGAATTGAGACCTGGTGACCAGTGACGGACATTAGACCAACTCTTAAATTGGATGCAGTTTGTTCGCACTAACCAAAACAACTGCCATCTTCATCTCATGCGCCCCCCCCCCTGGCGCCAGCTGGATGCTCAAGGCAAAAGGGGAATAACAATTCTCCTTCAGATAACAAGACTGTGTTGTCACGTGTCTGTGAAGGTTCTCAGTCATCCAGGTCATCGTAGTCAAAGGAGCTTGCAAAGAAAAGCGTCTGGACTTCTTTAAGTTGCTTGAAGACGTTTCACCTCTCATCCGAGAAGCTTCTTCAGTTCTAAGGTCAAATGGTGGAGATTCCCAGATATAAACCTAGTGGGAGTTTCCCCCCACAGAGGGACAAAAGGACCCCCTGATGATCCTCTAATCGCCTGAGCCAAGGTGGGAAACTGGGCGTGGGTCCCAATCAGCCAGAGTTTCGGGTGAGTTCATTGTGAAACCTGGCCCCACCTTATCATGCGAATTCCTGAGGTCAGATGGCCCAGGATGTGAGTGGGCGTTAAGGCGTCTGGGGAGGGATCTCAAAACTGGATTATAGATGGCAGAGAGTTGGTGTCGTAAACCCCGCCTCTGTTCAAAGATGGTCGCTCACAGTGGACATAGATGCTTCTTTCACTCCTCTTTCAAACCATCTGTCCTCTCTGTCTGAAAAGAAGATCAGACACCAGCGAGGGAGGACAGACGCAACAACATTGTCATCCCCTATGTAGCCGGCGTATCAGAGAAACTCAGGAGAG